ACCCTCGTTCCCTAACCTCCCGATCATGTTCCCGGACCCCCGTCCCTTCCCCCCAGAGCACCGCAGCAGTAGGAAAGCGTTCGGAAACGGTAAGAAATCATGTTCCCGGAAAGCGTTCAAGAATATGAGTCGTACGTCGTCCAAGGCGCCTCGGAAGGCGCAGAATACTCCTCCAAGGCGCGGAATCATGTTCCCGGACCGCCTTCCGGGAACATGATGGGGACGACCTCCTGAGGGCCTCCAGTGGGCCTCCTGGGGGCCTCTCGGAGGCCTGTGGGGCTTTCCTGGAGGCGTCGTGGGGCGCGCTCAAGGCCATTTTTGGGCATCTTGGGGGCCTCTGGGGGCCTTCGGGGAGGCTCTTGGGGGCCTCTTTGGGGCCTCTTGGGGCCTCGCGAGGCCCTCTTGGGGACCGCTGGGCTCGCTTAGGCAGTCTTGAAGCCCTGTCGGGGCACTCCTGGAACCGTCTTGGGCGGCTCCTGGGCCATGTTGGGGCTCTCCTGGGCCGTCTTGGGACGATTTTGGGGGTCTGTTGGGCCATCTTGGAGCTGTCTTGGGGGCCTTTTTTCGGCCGTCTTGGAGCGGTTTTGGGAGACTCGTATACGGCCTTGGAGCGTCGGAACCCCGAAAAAGCGAGAAGGCCAACAACCTAGAAAAAAACACAATAAAAATCAACGATTTTGGCTTGTCGGGGCTCTCTTGGGAGGCCTCTTGGGATGCCTTCGGGGCCTCATTGAGCTCTCTTGGAATGTCTTCGGGCCTTCCTGGCCATTCCTGAGGCTATCTATGCGCGTCTTGGAGCGCTCGCGGGCCGTCTTGGGCGGTCTCGAACTGTTCCTGGCGGTCCCAGAGGCCCTTCGGGACGCTTCGGACGCTCCCGGGGGCGCCCTGCACCCCCCATGGAGATTACTGGCACCGCCCCGGGGCCCTACTCCGACATATATGTATACGAAGGGGCATGCGCGGGAGGCGGTGGTGCGGCGGGTGAGGATGAGGAGGAGGAGGAGGATGAGGATCAGCAGGGCGAGGCGCGCGAGGGGGAGGATAAGGAGAGTGCGAGTGACGCGTCTCAGGAGCAGGCGAGCCTGGAGCAGGAGCGTGAGGATGTGGAGAATGAGAGCCAGGAGAGCGAGGATCAGGAGAATAAAGATCAGCAAGGCGTGAGGATCGGGCGAGTTTGGAGCAGGATAGGGAGGATCAGCAGAGTGAGGATCGGCAGAGTCAGCATCACGAGGAGAGCGAGGATCAGGATAATGAGAATGAGCATGAGGAGGATGAGGATCAGGATCGTGAGGCAGGAGGGTGAGGGTGAGGAGAACGAGAATTAGGAGAGTGAGGATCAGAAGGGCGAGGGCCATGAGGGGGGCCATCAATAGGGTGAGGATCAGCATTGCGAGGAGCTACCTTATCACCCCTCCTTCTCCTCCTCCTCCTCCTCCTCCTCCTCCTCCTCCTCCTCCTCCTCCCCCTCCCCCTCCCCCTCCTCCTCCCCCTCCTCCTCCTCCTCCTCCTCCTCCTCCTATGCCCCCTGCCCCTGGCCTCCTTCGCCTCTCCTCCTTCCTCCTCCCTCCTGCCTCCTCCTCCTCATCCTTCTTCCTCCTACTCCTGCCTCCTCCTCCTCCTCCTCCTCCTCCTCCTCCTTCCTCCTCTTCCTCCCTCCTCCTCCTCCTTCCTCCTACTCCTGCCTCCTCCTCCTCCTCCTCCTCCTCCTCTTCTTCCTTCTCCAACTGCTGGGGGCCTCCGTCGGCGAGCGATCCCGCGACCTTGCGAGGACGTCTCGAGCGAGAGCCCTGGGCTGGGACACGCCCAGCGCGCCCGGTGCAGTCCCCGAAAGTGGTCCCTGGGGGCGCGGCGGGGCCTGACCTTCTCACGCGCCGGAGGTCGACTCTGCGAGGATGTCTCGAGCGAGAGCCCGGGGGTGGGACGCGCCCAGCGCGCCCGGTGCGCCCCGTGCGCCTGGTGCGCTCCCTGGTAATGGTCACCGGGGCGCGGCGTGGCGGGGCCTGACTTTCTCACGCGCCGGGGGTCAGGATGGCGTGAGTTCCACAGGACCCTCCCCCCCAAATCGTATTTTCAACACTGATGTTCTCAGACACGGATTCGAACATGCATTGCTCATTGCTGGCAGTGGTTGCTACGTTCGCATCACTGGCGAATGAAAGAATTAAAGCAAGAAGGCAAGACTTAGTTGGAGTCTGCAACACAATGCGTCTGGCTGCGAAATCGTTCCCTGGCTCGGGAGGGACTGCACGGGAGCGCACGAGCAATTCTGGGCTGGCCCGAAGAAAGCATACAAACACGGGAGTGGCGCAACAATGCACAACTTGGAAGGCAAATGCTGGCAAAATGGCGACAACTCAGTATGAGTGGAACAGGTTCTGGCTGAACGGGGCCCTGGATATGTTTCACCTGTGTCGGGCCCCCAAGGCCCTCCACCGGGCTCTGGCCCGTCAAGAACGGCTCGGGGTGACTAGCTGGTCCTGGGGAAGGCTTCCAAGTCTCGGACCTTGTTCCATTCATGGCGAGCAGCACGGGAATTCAACTCGGCGAAGGCTAACCTACAGAAGCACCTGCGTGGCGATGGCAAGGCCAGTGTGACCAGTACGAAAAAGGACAAGGCACCATCCCTGCAAATTCGACGAGTACAATGGTTTCGGCTCATGTCCACCAATGCGAGAAGAGATTTTTCAAACCGCTGCAGCAATGTGCGACCGCAGAATGAGCCGACGACACCCATGACGACCGTCTGAACATCCGACTCATCCATCTTCATCCCGATGAAGAAGCATCGGAACTTCCTAGACGTTGACTGCACATGCACGCCCAGCAACGCCCCCCTCGCACCCCCCCATCCTTTGCCTTTGCGGATGCCCCTCGGGAGCAGAAATCTTGTAGACCCGCAGTCGGGAGCGAATACTTCAGAAATCTCGAAACACAACTGACGCCCAACGTCCTGAGGCCCTCCTCCACATGGGCCGCCTGAAGGTGGTCAGTCAATCTAATGCTGGGCAATCATCTGGTGAAATCGGTGGTAGTCTCAACCATGAAATCATATGCTCCACGCCTTTTCTTGTGCGCTCCACGTTGCCGTTTCGCTTTCCTAATCAAGGTGCACGGCACTGAAGCAACAGCACGGGAATCTTCGGGTCGGGCGAAAGGGGGGGATAGCAAAGGGGGGGTTTGAGAATCAGCTCACGTAGCTGATTTTCCCAGCGCCTCCCGGCGCCGGAGGCGGCTATGTATCGAGGAATGGGCCCCTCGGTGAGGCCGAAACCAGCTGCATGCAGCAAATTTCGTAACCCCCCCTTTCCCAATCCCCCCTTTCGCCCGGCCCGAAATCTATAAGCTGCCGCCAACGTGCCAAGGCGAGGGGGGGGAACAGGAAGACACACAGCACGTCAGGCCCAATGTATCGAGGAATGGGCCCCTCGGTGAGGCCGAAACCAGCTGCATGCAGCAAATTTCGTAACCCCCCCTTTCCCAATCCCCCCTTTCGCCCGGCCCGAAATCTATAAGCTGCCGCCAACGTGCCAAGGCGAGGGGGGGGAACAGGAAGACACACCACGTCAGGCCCAACGTCGGAGGCGCCCGCGCCTGTTCCCTCAGACCGTCTTTGGTATGGCGCTCCTCCAGCGCTCCGCCGGCACTCTGTAGGTGCTGCATCAGATGTCGATGATGGTGATGATGACGACGACGACGATGGCGATGACGATGACGATGATGATGCTGCTGCTGATGATTAGGATCATGATTATGATGATCCTTTTGTTGATGGTGATGCTGATGCTGATGATGACGATGATGATGAGGATGACGATGATTACGCTGATGATGGTGGTAGTGATGATGATGATGATGATGCTGATGATGATGCTGATGCTGGTGAGGGTGATGATGATGATGATGATGATGATGATGATGATGATGATGATGATGACGACGACAAGCGCGTGAAGGTGGCGCTGCTGCTAGGCAAAATCGTTGCCGGCTCCTACGCAGATGTAATTTACCTGCGCCGTCCATCCGCAACTCCTGAAAAACTGGCATGGCCAGCCCGAGGTGGACCTAGTAGCCGTCCTTGCTGGGTACGAACAACATGATGACCGACGCGTCGGTGTCCGCGATAACCAGTAGCTCGGCTTTGAATGCGCTCGCGTCGATCTTGCATCCGCCCTTCAAAGAGACCGTTGCCCATCAATGCCTCCTTCGGAGCACTGTAAGTGAAACCGAGCTTGTGCTGCGCGTCGCGCGCGTCAATCGGCATTTGCACGGGCACGCGCAGGGGCGGCGCCGCTTCTTGCGCGAGATTGCTCAGATCGTCGCTGCCACTGCTGCCTTGAAGTCCGCGCGGTATCTCTGGCTGGCATTGTGTTGTGCGGACTGTCACTCCTGTGTCAAGCGCATCGACACCAGCTGGAACCACAAGAAGTGCTCCGCACGCACTTTTTTTCGGGTCTCGCCCGGAGGAGCGCTCCGATGAAGCTCGCGCACGACAGTGCAGCTCTCTGGTGCACCCCCAGATGGCCTCCACGCTGAGGCACAACGCCGCCGCCGCTCTTGCCCCTCGACGGCCGTGACCGAACCACCGCTGCCCCCCTCCCCCCGCTCTGCCCCTCCTCCCCAAATGCCCCTCTTCCCCCACTGCCGTCTCTCCCTCTTCTCCTCCACCGCTGCCCCTCCTCCCGTTTCCACCCCGCCCCGCGCCTCTCCCCCGTCCCCCGTCTCCTCTCTCTGCTCGGCAGCGAGTTGCACACCATCGCGGCATAGCATGGGCAGTCCTCCTCCTCCTCCTCCGCCTCCTCCTCCTCCTCCGCCCTTCTCCAGTCAATCCCATCGTCTTGCTGCATTGGTGCCCTGCCCTCGAGCGCTACACCATGGTGGTGCACCAGGCCTCTGGTTCCACCACCGGGGCGAAGGCGCCCCTGAGCCATCCCGCTTCGAGCAGCCTCCGTCTCCGTCGTCCCTGTCCTCCTGGCCCGCCTCCCCCCCGAGGAGCGGCGGGCCTGCAGAATGTGGTAGCGCTCGTCCGGAGGCACCCAGCGCATCACCAGGCAGTTGGAGCTCTGCCTGCCGCCGCGGCGCGCCAACTCGGCGGGCGGGGAAGGCGCCAGAGGGGGGGGCGATGGTCTAGGCAGTATGTAGCAATAACAGGTGGTGCTAGTACGTCGTAAGAGAAGCAGGACGAGACGGAGACAGACAGCGAGTAGCGAGGAGAAGGGAGAGAATGGGGATGGAAATGGCGGGTTACTGAGATGCCCACACCGACAACGAACGCTGTTCAACATAGGCAAGAACTGACATCGATGGATATCGGTCTCCAGACCACGGTATTCTTGTTCTAACTTCGTCACTTCGCTCTTGGACGCTCTACGAACCATGGGTAACTAACAAGCGTTGGCGCTCGGCATTCGACCTGGTCCTACAACCGCCACCAAACCTTCGATTCACGGCAAAGATTACGCATGTCAGCCAGAGTGGGCCCCAAACGGCAGGTTATTTTAGTCTATGTGGTGCACTCTATGTGATGTAGGCTATGTGATGCAATATATGTGGTGGTATTCACTTGCCGAACTTGAAGTTGTCAACTCCACTGCTCGCGCAATCATCTCACCCACCCACCCGCAACTTGGTTTGCAGAACCCATGCGGGAGCGATTGCGATGAATGCTGGGTGTTGGCTGGTGCATCTCCGCGGGCGCGCTAGCCCGCGCGTGGTCGCGCGCGCAGCGGCCAGCTAGTTTGTCGCGGCCGACGCGAACGCGGTGGCGCTGACCGCTCGGCAAATCCCGGCGGGCGCTTCAATGCGAGTCGGCGACTTGGGCGGGCGCGGTATCATGGCAACGTCGACAGCGGTAGGTACGATGATGATAGTAGCGATGCTAGTGACGATGCTGACAGCGACGACGGGGCAGCCAGTGACGGCACCGATGGTGATCAAGCCGACGACGATGACGGCGTCTTCGCGTCGGTGATGAAGGTTGTGGAAGGAATTCAAAATGCGCGCGCGGCAGACGCGCGAGAGTGGCTCGCATGGTATTCTTTGACATCGAGCTGGGGTGGCATCGTGCCACCCCAGCTCGCGCGCAAAGGGCGTTCGAACGATTTCGACATGCGCGCGCGCGAAGCCCGTTTGGTAGCATTTTATGAACATGTTGGAGCACTCGTGGTTTCTTGAGAATTCGCAAGAGCGCGCACGCTTTTGTTTAACATCCGTGTTGCGAAACCTTGTTGTTTTGATGTTTTTTGAACAGTCGATTTTGAAATCCTTCCGAAACCGGGAGTTTTTGAACGATTTCGGCATGCGCGCACGAAGTCGCGCGCGTGTGCACTTCGTCTCGCTTTTTTGCAACGGATTCTCGCGACGGCACCCGCGCAAGGGCGTTCGAACGATTTCGACGCGCGCGGGGAGCCCGTTGAATAGCATTTTCTGAAAATCCGCCGACCCTGTCGGCGTGTGCGAGGGGCTTGGCTGTTCGAGTTGTCGTCTCCGTCGGTCGTCGCCTCCGTCGTCCCCTTTCCCTGCAGCTTCCTTCTCAAGCTCGTGAGCGAGAGAAAAATCTAGCAGTGTCGTAATCGAGTCGAAGGGACGCCCCTTCCCTTTGATCCCTTCCCCAGGGGGGGGGTGGGTCCCGGGGGGGGTGGGGGGGGGTCCCGGGGGGGGGGGGGGGGGGGGCAGGAGGGGCGTCTTTCCCCAAACCAAACGGGTCTTCCCAAACCAAACTTGGGCTTGGGTGACGTAGGCTTTGGTTTGGGAAGACCGGTGTGGTTTGGGAAGACCCGGTTCGTTTGGAAGACCCGGATGTTGGTTTGGGAAGACCCGGTTGGTTTGGGAAGACTCGGGCGCGTGGTTTGGGAAGACCCGGTTGGTTTGGGAAGACCCGGTTGGTGTGGGACGACGCGGAAGTTGGTTTGGGAAGACCCGGTTGGTTTGGGAAAACCCGGGTTTGGTTTGGGAAGACCCGTTTGGTTTGGGAAGACCCGGTTGGTTCGGGAAGACCCGGAAGTCGGTTTGGGAAGACCTGGCTGGTTTGGGAAGACCCGTTTGGTTTGGGAAATCCCGGGGAGTTGGTTTGGGAAGACCCGGAGGTTGGTTCGGGAAGACCCGGATGTTGGTTTGGGAAGACCCGGTTGGTTTGGGGGGAAGACCCGGGGAGTTGGTGTGGGAAGGCCCGGTTGGTTTGGGAAGACCCGGACGTTGTGGTTTGGGAAGACCCGGTTTGTTAGGGAAGGCCTGTGTGAGGTTTGGGAAGGCCTAGGGCTGTGGTTTGGGAAGACGCGGTTGGTTTGGGAAGACCTGGCCGTTCGGTTTGGGAAGACCCTGTTGGTTTGGGAAAACCCGAGTTTGGGTTGGGAAGACCCGTGCCTCGTGGTTCGGGAAGGCCCAGTCGGTTTGGGAAGGCCCGCTTTGTTTGGGAAGACCCGGCCGTTGTGGTTTGGGAATGCCCGTTTGGTTGGGATGACCTGGTTGGGTAGGAAAGACCCGGGGTCGTGGTTCGAAATGACCTGGGGGTGTGGGAATACGTCGGCACTTGGTTCGGGCAGACCCGCTTGGGCAGGGAAGAGGAGGGGGAGGAGGAGGAGGAGGAGAAGGAGGAAACGCAGGAGGATGGAGAGGAGGACGAAGAAGAGGAAGGAGGATGGAGAGGAGGAGGAGGAGGAGGACGAGGAGGATGGAGAGGAGGGAGGACGAGGAAAAGGAGGAGGAGGAAGAGGAAGAAGGAGAGGAGAAGGGGGAGGAGGACGAGGAGGAGGCCTCTACGCTGACCCCATCTAGGAGCCCTGGAGCCCTGGAGCCTGGACCTCGGGAAGCGGCGGATGGGGATGCACTGCAATCGGTCCTGCCAGGGGCCCGGATATGTCCACAGTCGCCCCTCCCCCTGGGGGTATGGGAAGCGCGGTCTGGAACGGAACGCTTGCCTTGCGAGCGACTCTGAACATGACGGGTTTGACTATGATTGAGTGCGAGTGTGTGTCTGAGTGTGAGCGGGCCTGAGCGTGAGTCCATCCGCGAGTCGGTCTGAGTACGAGCGGGTCCAGTGTGAGGGTGAATGAGTCTGCGTGTGGATGGGTGAGCAGCGGGGACCCTAAGGAGGAGCGGGGCGGGGCGGGGCGGGGCGGGCGGGCGGACCCTAACGGGCGGGTCGGGTCGGGTCGGGCGGGCGGGCCCTAACGGGCGGGTCGGGTCGGGCGGGCGGGACATTCAAGTATGGTGCATGATCGAGCCCACGCGCGAGAACCTAACGGGCGGGTCGGGTTGGGTCAGGTGGGTGGACCCTGACCGGCGGGTCGGGTCGGGTCTGGCGGGCGGGCCCTAACGGGCGGGTCGGGTCGGGCGGGCGGGACTTAAAGTGCGGGCATGATCGAACCCACACGCGAGAACCCTAACGGGCGGGTCGGGTCGGTCGGGTCGGGTGGACCCTAACGGGGGTCGGGTGGGTACCCGGGCCGGGTCGGGCGGGCGGGCCCTAATGGGCGGGTCGGGTCGGGTCGGGCGGGCGGGTCCTAACGGGCAGGTCGGGTCGGGCGGGCGGGACGTTAAAGTGCGGTGCGTGATCGAGCCCACACGCGAGAACCCTAACGGGCGGGTCGGGTCGGATCGGGCGGGCGGACCCTAACGGGCGGTTCGGGTCGGGTCGGGCGGGCGGGCCCTGACGGGCGGGTCGGGTTGGGCTGGCGGGACATTAAAGTGTGGTGCGTGATCGAGCCCACGCGCGAGAACCCGAACGGGCGGGGCGGGGCGGGTCGGTTCGGGCGGGCGGACCCTAACGGGCGGGTCGGGTCGGGTCTGGCGGGCGGACCCTGACGGGCGGGTCGGGTCGGACGGGTGGGACATTAAAGTGTGGTGCGTGATCGAAGTCGCACGCGAGAACCCGAACGGGCGGGTCAGGTCGGGCGGGCGGGCCCTAGCGGGCGGGTCGGGTCGGCTCGGGCGGGCGGACCCTAACGGGCGGGTCGGGACATTAAAGTGCGGTGCATGATCGAGACCACACGCGGGAACCCTAACGGGCGGGCCGGGTCGGGCCGGGTCGGGCGGGCGGACCCTAACGGGCGGGTCGGGTCGGGTCGGGCGGGCGGACCCTAACGGGCGGGTCGGGTCGGGCGGGCGGGGCATTAAAGTGTGCTGCGTGATCGAAGTCACACGCGAGAGCCCTAACGGGCGGGTCGAGTCGGGTCGGATCGGGCGGGCGGAACTTGCGGGCGGTCGGGGCGGGTCGGGCGAGCGGGCCGTAACGGTCGGGTCGGGTCGGGCGTGGCATTCAAAGTATGGTGCATGATCGAAGTCACGCGCGCGAGAACCCTTATGGGCGTGTCGGGTCGGGCCTTGTCGGGCGGGCGGACCCTAACGGGCGGGTCGGGTCGGGTCGGGCGGACCCTAACGGGCGGGTCGGGTCGGGCGGGCGGGACATTAAAGTGCGGTGCGTGATCGAGCCCACACGCGAGAACCCTAACGGGCGTGTCGGGCCGTCGGGTCGGGCGGGCGGACCCTAACGGGCGGGTCCGGTCGGGTCGGGCCCTAACGGGCGGTCGGGTCGGGCGGGCGGGACACTAAAGTGTGGTGCATGATCGAGCCCACGCGCGAGAACCCCAACGGGCGGGGCGGGGCGGGGCGGGTCGGGTCGGGTCGGGCGGGCGGACCCTAACGGGCGGGTCGGGTCGGGCGGGCGGGTCGGGCGGGCGGGACGTTAAAATGTGGTGCATGATCGAGCCCACACGCGAGAACCCTAACGGGTTGGGTCGGGTCGGGCGGGCGGGCGGACCCTAACGGGCGGGTCGGGTCGGGTCGGGCGGGAGGGACCTAACGGGCGGGTCGGGTCGGGCGGGCCCGACATTAAAATGTGGTGCGTGATCGAGCCCACGCGCGAGAACCCTAGCGGGCGGGTCGGGTCAGGTCGGGCGGGCCCTAACGGGCGGGTCGGGTCGGGTCGGGCGGGGCATTCAAGTGTGTTGCATGATCGAAGTCACGCGCGCGAGAACCCGAACGGGCGGGTCGGGTCGGGGCGGGTCGGGCGGGCGGACCCTAACGGGCGGGTCGGGTCGGGTCGGGCGGGCGGGCCCTAACGGGCGGGT